CTGGTACTGTTACAACAGGGACACCATGGTTATCTGGTACTGTTATAACAGGGTCACCATGGTTATCCGGTGCTGTTACAACAGGGTCACCATGGTTATCTGGTGCTGTTANATTCATCTGGTAGTGTTACAAAAGGGTCACAATGATTATATGGTTCTGTTACAACAGGATCACCAGGAATACCAGGTACCATTATCTTATGGTTACCATGGCCACTGGGTACAATTATCTTAGGTTTACCATGGCTACTATTACCACAGAGTCACTTAGGAACATGTTACTTATGTCAGATAATAGTAATACAGGCATATATCTGTGATATATCTGAGGTGAAAGCTGAACACAGGCACAAACCTGTCAACACTCGAACAAGGATAAATTCTCCCAAAGATTCTAGTCACCCTGGGCTTTACATAATGTCAGTTACTTTCTTTATTGTCGACTTGATGTTAAAGTGAGATAAGCAGCACCGTATCATACTGTATATACACCATTACCTTACTACAGCTCAGTGTTGACAGGTTTGTACACAAGGTAGGGACTGTGGGGATAATAACATCAACGTGTGTTCAAAGCACATAATTATCATCACCACTCGTAGGGGTTATCTGGGAGTTGTACCCATCACTGTCTTCTCTGGTTTGATCTGATGGAGTCGACTGTGGGGTGACTAGGAACAAATACTGGGTGGCACAAATACACACACATTTATTTAGGAAATGTCTCCCTGTACAAAATCCTGTTTATAATAAAAACAGATACCTGGGACAAAAGTAGATGTATTTCAATACAAATATTTTTTTAAACTCAAACTGCATCACTAATACGTATTATTATTTATAGTATAAGTGTGTGTCACACTAGATTTAAAGAGGAAAACATCACAAGGCCAGACAAAATGTAGATAATTCTGCTTTTTTTAACCTGTTAAAGAGCAAAACATTTGACAAAAACAGCACAATTTATTAAAAAGTTGGCCAACCAAAACATAATCTTTGAGATAACTGTGCTCCCTTCCAAATTTACACAAGTATTGCCTTAAAACAGGGTTCGAATTTAACCAGATTTTCTACTTGCATTTTTTCGCAAGTGGTATTTTTTCTTACTCGCTAAATGAGAAAACAACTTGCAATTTGCATTTTTCCAACTTTATTAGACGTGTTAACTTAGAATTAAATTCTAAAAACAACACAGCAGTAACTGACATTTTAAATTATGGTCATTGGGATGTATACATGACGCAAACCTTGCTGTGAAAGGATGCTGGCCTGCTCGGGCTAGTCTAAGATATAGCATAGAAACTGCATCTTAGTTTCTTGCTCCATATGTCCATTTGTTATTTTGCCGGTGCAGCGAGCTGTGAAATTTAACCTTGTGAAACTCCAATACAACCACGTGACTAGTCAAGCCTATCGTATTTGTGCTATAAATAGTAACTAAAAATAGATTACCGAAAAACATCATGCATGCGGTAAACGTCATCATTATTTGTGCAGGTACTTCCTAACGGACATGTGCACGGGACATGTATCGATTGTAAACTTCCGTTAATGACAAAAGCTGAATCATTCGTTCAGCGAATGACAAGAATGCGCTTAAATGACTGCGAGTTGTCAAAGAAAGAATTTGTAAAGACCAACCATTAGAAATGAGGATTATTCAGCCCAAAATTTTCACTCGCAAAAAAATGCTGGTGTCTGAAATCTCTACTCGCAGTTTGCAATTTGCACTCGCTTTTCGCGAGTATGCGAGCTTAAATTCGAACTCTGTTAAAACAACAACTCTTCAAAAGTCAAAAAAAATCTTATAAGGGAAGACTTCATTTAAAAGAAATGAATAACTTTTTTAGCTTTGGTTTTTTAACCCCGTGCCTTGTAAAACATTCTTCAATGAAAAGCATCAAATATAATAAAGACATCAAAAGTTATAAACAAAAATAACACAAGTTATAAACACATAATACAATTTAAGCACATCATACAATTTAAGCACATTAATGACCATACATTCATGCTACAACAAATGACATTTCCAACATCCATACAAAACAGCGTACTAAATTCCTACAATGCATATTTATACCACAAACATCAAGCAGCACTTCATACCTTATCAATCTAAAAGTAGCGTTTGGTTTCTGACGAAGTGAATTGTTCCTGGAAATTGAATAAACATATTAATTGGGAAATTTACGCTATTTTTTTTTATATTATAGCAAGATATTTCATACAGTCTTCTAAGTCACTTTTCAATAATCCCCTAAACAGCCTTTCAGGACAGCTTAATTTCCACACACATTTGTGTTCTCCCATCCTATATTAACCGTATCCCCTATATTTCCCTGATTTCCTCTCCCACACATTCTCACACCTCACACTCACTTTTCAACTTGCCCCCTCTCTAACATGTGTGTTACACCCTCAACTTCACCCCCCCCCTAACATGTGTGTTACACCCTCAACTTCACCCCCCCCCTAACATGTGTGTTACACCCTCAACTTCACCCCCCCCCTAACATGTGTGTTACACCCTCAACTTCACCCCCCCTCTAACATTTGTGTTACACCCTCAACTTGCCCCCTCTCTAACATGTGTGTTACACCTTCAACTTCGCCCCCTCTCTAACATGTGTGTTACCCCCTCAACTTCACCCCCTCTCTAACATGTGTGTTACACTCTCAACTTCCCCCCTCTCTAACGTGTGTTACACCCTCAACTTCACCCCATCTCTAACATGTGTGTTACCCCCTCAACTGCACCCCCTCTCTAACATTTGTGTTACACCCTCAACTTGCCCCCTCTCTAACATGTGTGTTACCCCCTCAACTGCACCCCCTCTCTAACATTTGTGTTACACCCTCAACTTGCCCCCTCTCTAACATGTGTGTTACACCCTAAACTTCACCCCCTCTCTAACATGGGTGTTACACCCTCAACTTCACCCCCTCTCTAGCATGTGTGTTACACCCTCAACTTCACCCCCTCCCTAACATGTGTGTTACACCCTCAACTTCACCCCCTCGCTAACATGTGTGTTACACCCTCAACTTCACCCCCCCTCTAACATTTGTGTTACACCCTCAACTTGCCCCCTCTCTAACATGTGTGTTACACCCCCAACTTCACCCCCTCTCTAACCTGTGTGTTACACCCCCAACTTCACCCCTCTCTAACATGTGTGTTACACAATCAACTTCACCCCCTCTCTAACATATGTGTTACACCCTCAACTTCACCCCCTCTCCAACATTTGTGTTACACCCTCAACTTGCCCCCTCTCTAACATGTGTGTTACACCCTCAACTTGCTCCCTCTTTAACATGTGTTACACCCTCAACTTCACCCCCTCTCCAACATTTGTGTTACACCCTCAACTTGCCCCCTCTCTAACATGTGTGTTACCCCCTCAACTTCACCCCCTCTCTAACATGTGGGTTACACCCTCAACTTCACCCCCTCTCTAGCATGTGTGTTACACCCTCAACTTCACCCCCCCCCTAACATGTGTGTTACACCCTCAACTTCCCCCCCTCTCTAACATGTGTGTTCCACCCTAAACTTCACCCCCTCTCTAACATGTGTGTTACACCCTCAACTTCACCCCCTCTCTAACATGTGTGTTCCACCCTAAACTTCACCCCCTCTCTAACATGTGTGTTACACCCTCAACTTCACCCCTCTCGAACATGTGTGTTACACAATCAACTTCATCCCCTCTCTAACATGTGTGCTACACCCTAAACTTCACCCCCTCTCTAACATGTGCGTTACACCCTCAACTTCACCCCCTCTCTAACATGTGTGTTACACCCTAAACTTCACCCCCTCTCTAACATGTGTGTTACACTCTCAACTTTCCCCCTCTATAATGTGTGTTACACCCTCAACTTCACCCCCTCTCTAACATGTGTGTTACACCCCGACTTACAATAAGGCTGTCCATGGTCGAGTTTATTAGGTCCTGGAAGAAACCCTTTTCTTTCTGGTATATCTCTCCCTCAATACCCTGACGCCGGTGCCGGCTCTCAAGACCCTCAAGAACCAGACTTGAAATATTCTTGGTGCCTTTCGGGTTTTCTCTGGACTTCTTATAGGACTCTAAACTGCCAGCAATCTTCAGCAAATCTTCAAAGGTCTGTCAATAATATAATAAGATATCTCAAATATTCATACTTTACTTATAATATACACATATATATAAACTATTGCATTGTCTTAAACTGTTAGGTCTTAGAGTGATAATTTTTTTATAAATTGAAAAAAAAGTCAAAACTACATTTCTTGTGATACAATTTACCAACAAGAAAGCTGATACTATTTATTAAGGATGTACTATATACCTTACCCATATATATGTGATTTGCATTAAAGTTACCTTCCTTTTCAATTGTATGCATTATAATCTACATTTCAAATTACTATTTAGAAAAGATAGCAGGTTAATTGATCAGTGAAGAAACTTAATGCATGTCACAGTAGCATAAACCTTACGGGTAGGAAGGGGAGATCATAAACCTATAATGGAGACCAACAGTACTTACGGGTAGGAAGGGGAGATCATAAACCTACAATGGAGAACAGTACTCACGGGTAGGAAGGGGAGATCATAAACCTATAATGGAGACCAACAGTACTCACGGGTAGGAAGGGGAGATCATAAACCTATAATGGAGACCAACAGTACT